TGCATAATGTATGTTGAATAGAGAAACTTACATTTAATGTACATGAATATTAATAGCAGTACAGTATTATTGGAAAACATACAAAAAATATACATAACGTATGTTGAATATAATCTATTTTAATATTTCGTTTTTCATAAGTGTGCATTTTGGTTGTATTCAGCATGTATTTGTCATCGTATTAGCTTGTATCGTAAATGCATAAAATCTGCAGCTAAGTCATTAATTTCAATGTTCTTTTCAACGTGACGTCGTTGAAAGAAAATAATACGGGAAAGCTGCGCACAAAGTGTTGAAATATGAAAAATATTTGTGAACGTCGTTGTAAATCAGGATGTTGAACGAAGATCGACAACGAAGCAAGGAGAAGCAAAGCGTCCGCTCTCGAAAAGCTGGAGAGCGTGGCTCGGAGCGAAAGGAGGAGGGTTTCAAGAAATCGGACGATTGCTTTATTAAGACGTCAGAAGGTACAGGATAGGCTGGGCCTGCGGTCGTTATTGCCTCAACCGGGTTCTCGCTTGGAACAATTGCTGCGAGAAGATCAAAAAGACCATCGAGAGAAACTGACAAGCGAGAGAGAAGAAGAAACCCGGAGCGATAGAGAGCGAAAACGACCATGTTAACCGTTCATGCGTAGCCCTCAAAGTTGAGATACTGGTCCGAGTTAGGTGTCCATGAATCTTTTGTAATACATGCAATCCACCATGGATATCCTTCGACGAAAAACATCCATTTGCTAGAATTTAATTGGACTATAATTATATTTGTTTGGAATTGCCAAACAATTGTTCTCATTTGTAATTTTTGTGATGAAATTCCGCACGTTTTACTAAAATTCTGCTTCAGTTATCTACAAATTAGAGGATAGATAACATGTAAAGCACAACAAATTGAAAATAGTAATTTTCTTATGTTCTTTATATGTTTATACAACTTCTGATTATTCTAACTGTAATATTCTAAGCTGGAAGAGAAACAAAGGGGCAATTTGCTAAATTTTTTTTTAATATTTGCGAAACAATTGTTCACGTTTATAGTTTTTGTGATGGAATTCCCCACGTTTTACTAAAATTCTGCTTCAGTTATCTACAAATTAGAGGATAGATAACATGTAAAGCACAACAAATTGAAAATAGTAATTTTCTTATAATCTTTGTATGTTCATACAACTTCTGATTATTCTAACTGTAATATTCTAAGCTGCAAGAAAAACAAAGGGACAATTATAATCCATTATGTTCACGTATTTATCTATGTATATTATAACTAGACTGCGGATCTGTATGCAAAATGAAATCTTCTCGAACGTGTTTACAAAAAATGAACTTAAATTGGAATTAATTTTATTCTGCAAATATTATAACATGAAGTTTAACTTTCAATATTTTTTATATTCTTGCATATTGTTTGCATTCTGTAGTTTCCTGGACATTGAAATTTCCTATAAATGCATAAAGATCCGCAGTCTAATTATAACAGATATGCGCGCTTTGTTTTTATCTGGTTAAACTTATGTAAGTCATCGATACGTATATAAATAATTATCGAAATGCTGCGATTTATAAACTTTCTCGTTATAGAAAAATAATATCTTTCGTTATCGCTGCTTCGGCCCTGCGTCGTTAATAAATATTCGCGTAAACGTGAATTATCTTTCGTATATCTCTGCTAGATATCTGCGATCTATTTCCTTTATTCTGTCTACAATACATTCTTCGTGCTTCATCGCGATTTGTAGATCTAAATCTCCCATCGCACTTCCTGTACCGCAGGAAACTAATTGTCACGTTTATCTCCATACAATCTGTTTAAAATATCAAGTCTCATACTTCTTACTAAACGTGATTCGTTATCAAATTCTTTGTTATTGTATACATACATTTATAAAATAGTAAAAAATGTAGCGAGTTAATTCAGAACAACTAACATCGAAATGATAGTTTAAACTCTGAAAAAATCTTGTTTCTAAAAAAACTTGTTGAATGTTTAATATAATATTAGTCTGAGCAAACGAAGCCTAACGCATTCCGTTTAGGTCCTAGATTTTCCTAAATAGAACGCCCTAAGTAAACCGAGACACGCGCTCTCATCCACTCGTTAATTCAAAAACAAATGTTACAACCCTTTTCGAAAAATAGTACTTAAATAGAGATAAACCATTGTAATATTTAATATTTATAATTAGACCGTGGATTCGTATCCATTCATAGGATAAATATTTATAGAATAAATACAATACTTGCAGAGTAAAATAAATTTCTATTTAAGTTCAATTTTCATAGGCACGTTCGCGAAGATATTATCGAACTGTTTAGAATAGTTTATTTATAATTTATACATCAACATATACTATTCATAAATTTGTATTTGTTACAGGTGTTACAAGATATATGGTCCTGAAAAGGATTCCTGCAGTCAATGAACCAAAACCCTGAGAAATGGAAAAAATAGAAATGTAAACAGATCAGTAGTTTATTTATAATTTATACATTGATACATACTATTCATAAATTTGTATTTGTTACAGGTGTTACAAGATATATGGTCCTGGAAAGGATTCCTGCAGTCAATGAACCAAAACCCTGAGAAATGGAGAAAATGGAAATGTAAACAGATCAGCAGTTTATTTATAATTTATACATTGATACATACTATTCATAAATTTGTATTTGTTACAGGTGTTACAAGATATATGGTCCTGGAAAGGATTCCTGCAGTCAATGAACCAAAACCCTGAGAAATGGACAAAATAGAAACGTAAACAGTTTTGCAGTTTATTTATAGTTTATACATTGATACATACTATTCATAAATTTGTATTTTTTACAGGTGTTACAAGATATATAGCCCTGGAAAGGATTCCTGCAGTCGATGAACCAGAACCCTGAGGAATGGAGAAAATGGAAACGCGGTTTCGCAATTATTTCGTTTCCTTCGGGTGCTCTCGCTCTCCCCGCAGAATCGATTAACTGGTTCAATTTGTACTCAAACAGCTAATGTCTTCTGTGGTATCCGCCGCCTCGCGTTGAGAACGAGCGAAATTGAGTTGAGAGTCGCAGGAGCCAGCTGAATGCTCGTGGTAGGGAATAGAAGTAGTAAGGGCCCAGAAAGGGAGCCCAATGGAAGGCCGGCACGGGAAGAAGGAGAAACGTAAGAAAGAACGGAACGCATCTAAATGCGGGACTGTTCGACGTCGCTGTTAGAAGGGTATGGGCGAGGACGGGGGAGAAGGAGATAGTGTTGGAACCAGGCTGGTGTCTCAATCAGCCAAGCAGGTTGGGGCACCTTGGACCCCTGTGGGTGGAGGATAGAGCCAGCGATGGCTATGAAACGTTCTCGTGACGAAAACAACCCAAGTTAAACCATTTATTCGTATTTATCTATTCCTATGTATTAGGTTGTCCCAAAAGTTTCTTCCATTTCCTTAAGTAGTAATACATACACAACATTTTATGTACAATGTTACATTATTGAATTGCGTACAATTCATTTTGTTCTATTACAGTTATAACATTGACATCTAAGAAATTAAGTTGTCTAATTGTATAAACCCTCCCACACAAAATAACTGAATGCAAGTCACGGAAGAAACTTTTGGGACAAAGTAATAATTTCTAGAAAGCAGTGAGATAGTATCTGTAGTTTAATCGTGACTTGATCACAGGAACAGCTAACTAATTTTGTACAGGTCTTACACTCAAAATTAACACTAAACCTACCACGTTCAAATGATCATTTTAAAACTTTCGTATACAGTTTTTATATACAGTATACATACAAATTATATACAATCGTTTCATGCATTACTCAATTTCATGTGAAAATTAGAATCATGTGAAATACTTTTGCATTCAATTGAAAAAAGTGTCATTAAGCCTAGTCATTTGTTTAGTGGAAATTTGTTCAGTAGAAGTAAGTACAAATGAAACCTCGGTAGGTTTAGTGTTAACACCAAAAATATAGGAATTTCATATGCTCTTATAATTATTTCATGATTTGATAAAAGTAAGAGTTTTGATGCAAAGAGAAATAGTACCAAACTATTATAAGTAATTGGAACAGATTGTTGAACTTTATACGTACATTTTACGATTTTAATTGTTTTATATAATTATTATACGTTAAGACTGATGATTATGGGCGTGATAAAATT